GCTAAAATCCCACTTTCTGCAAGAAGCCTTTTCTGGTCCCCCTTAATGCTAATGCCTTTCCCTTGAGATTATTCCCAATTTAGCCTTTTTACATCTTACAGCTACATCCTTGTTTCCTTGTCTATTCCAAATAAATTGCAAGTTCCCTGAAGGCAGGGGATTGGGTTTGCCTTTCTTTGAATCCCCATCACTGAGCACATTGCTTGGCACATAGTAGGTGCCTAATAAATGCTTATTTGACATTTTACACCCATAGTCCCCCACCTCTGCAAACAAGGGGGAGAAGTGTCTTCTTGTGTCAAATTTTATTTTTTTGCTTGATCGTTATACTTACATAGCATTTATTTTCTATTGTTGTATGGATTGTTTTCCAGGTTCTGCTTGTGTCACTTCATGCCAGTTCACATGAGCCTCCCAGTGCTTCTCCAGATTTTTCATATTGATTATTTTCTAACATTCCATCGCATTCATGTACCACATTTCCTTTAGCTAGTCCACAATCTATGTGGCATCCACTTTGGTTCCTGTTCTCTTAGCTTCAGGGTATTTTCAATTTGATTCAGTAAATGTTTATTAAGTGCCTACTATGTGCCAGGCACTATGCTAAGTGCTATTTTCTAAACACCTTCTGTGCATTAAAAAAGGGAAACATCAATCTAAGCTAGTAGTTTTCCAAACTTTTTTTTAATTGGCTGTAAGCACAGTATCATTCTTTGCTATAAGAAAGCCCTGGGAGACTGGCCCATGTCTATGTCCATGCACTTGCCAATGTAAATTCCCTACAATTTATGGCATACTTAGAGAAACTGCTGCAGCACTTACCCTTTGAGAACCATTGGTCTATATATTGATAAAAAGCAAATGCAAGTATATACCATAGTACGACATACTATGTTCACTGATATAAATCAATCCATCAATTGATAAACTTTTATCAATCACCTCTTATGTGTCAGGCAGTGTTCTGGGAGCTAGAAATATGAAGACAAAAATGAAACATTCCTGGACCTTAATTTCCCCTTCCCACCTCAACTTTTTCCCTGATATCATCAACAAGCATTTATTGAACTCTTCCTGTATACCAGGTGGTGGTGGTGGTTGTTCTTCAGTCTTGTCTGAGCCTTCGTGATGTCATTTGAGATTTTCTCATCAGTGACACTGGAGGGGTTTACTGTTTCCTTCCCTAGCTCATTTTATGGATGAGGAAACTGAGGCAAACAGGATTAAGTGACTTGCCCAGGGTCACACAGTTAATAAGTATCTAAGGCCAGATTTGAACTCTGGAATGTGAGTCTTTTTGACTCCAGGCCCTGCACTCTATCCATTGTACCACCTAAATGCTCTAGCAGTTGAGGTGAGGCTAAAAACACAGCCCCTGCTCTTGAGAAACTATCATTCTAATGAGAGAGACAACAGGCAAACAACTACGTAACACACAATCTATTAAGAGTCAACTGAAAGTTATCGAAAGGTCCTGGGGGTAGAAGGGACTGGGAAAAACCCTCTTACGGTAGGTAAGATTTAAGCAAAGTCTTGAAGGAAGTCAGGGAATCCAGGAAGAATTGAGAAGGAACAGCATTCCTGGCCTGGGGTGAAAAGGCAGAGAGTTAGAAGATGGAGTGTTATGCGGGAGGAATGGTAAGAAGACCAGTGTTGCTGGACCTTGTAATACTTGGCAGGTTAAAAGGTCTAAGGCTAGAAAGATAGAAAGGGGCCAAGTCAGGTCCATTTTCTGTATTTTAGTAATGAAATAGAATTGCTCCCATCATTCTGGAAAGCAATCAATACCTATACTCCAGTCAGTAAACATGGTATGTCCTTTGATAATCAAGGTTTTGTTATCTAGTCTCAATTGGACCTTCCTCTCAGAGGGTCATTCCTCCCAGTGCATGTGCTGCATCTCTACTCCCATTCATGGCCAAACTCTTCGAAAGAAAACTGTTTAAATTTGTTTCATCTACTTCCTCATTTCCCATTTACTTTTTAACCTCTAGCCTTCTGGCCTTAATTTGGACCATTCCACTGAAAATGCGCTGTTCAAGGCTACCAGCCACGTCTGAATTGCTGAATCTCAGTCTTTTCTCCTTCTTTCTCCTAGATCCCTCTGCAATTTTTACATTGTTGAGCAACTGATCCCACCCTTCTCCTGAAAACTTTTCTTTTCTTGCTAAAATAACTTTATTTCCTTTTTTAATAGTTAGTGAACTGGTTGATCAGGGGCATGCTATATATAGAGTTTATTTAATTTATTTTTTAAAAATTATTTTATTCTCAATTCATAAAACAAAACAACCATTTCCATAACAGTACAATAAAAAGATGATTGCACATGAAACTGCAAATCTATCATGCACAACTTACTATTCCCTTCAGATATACAAAGTTATCATCTAAATTTCTTTTCTTTTCTTCTCTGAAAACTTTCCCCTACTTTCTTGACACTGTTCTTTCTTGGTTTTTCTCCTAGCTCTCTGACTGCATCTTCTCAGTTTTCCTGACTATACCACCATCCTTTTCTCATCCCTTAGCCACAGCTGCCTCAAAAGCTCCCCTTCTCTTCTTCCTCTTCACCCTCTCTCAATGACCTCCTCAGCTCTCATGGACACACTTATCTCTATCCAGATATCTTCTAGATACACAGCCAGATCAAATATTTCTCATGAATGGTGAGACCATATCACAACTTTTGCCCATTGGACATTTTCATTTGGATGTCATATCCAAAATGAGACTCATTTCCCTTCAAATTCCACCTTTCCTCCATATTTTTCTGTTTTTCTTTTTACATCTTCCTCCTTCTCACACTCACAATAGCATTTCTCTTGGAATATTGTGATAGCCTACTAAGCAATCTTTTTCATTCCTGAAGTACAGGTTCAACAAGAATAAGAGTGGTTCTTTTTCACCTCTAGTGCAAAATGTAACCATTGGCATTTAAAGTCCTTCAATTTCCAGATAGATTTCAGATTGATTCCCTTTCTGCACCCCATCTTACAACCAAATCAGCCAGTTTGCTTTTCCCCAAACTCAATGTTCATTCTCCTATGTCTTCACTCTGATATAGGCTGAATGTCCTAAGCTAGGATTACAGTCCCTTCTTACCTCCACATTTTAGGATCTTTTGTTTCCTTTAGTAATCCTTGAAGATCTCATAGCCTACAAGAAGCTTTTCCTGATACCTCTTCTCCCTATAGGAATATCCTAATGTCCAAGATCTCCCTTCTCAAATTAATGTGTATTTACTTATCTACTTAGCTATTTTATTTACCTGCATAAAGTAAGTTCTTGGAGAAAAGAGATAATTTTTCTTTCTTTCTTTCTTTTTGTTTTGTATATCCCACACCTACCATAATTTTTTGAAAACCGAAGCTGGCATAATAAATATTTATTGAATAGAACTGAAGGTCAGGGGTATCTGATGCTTGAAAATACCTTCTAAGTTCAACCTTCTGACTCCTTATTATTTCAGCTGTTCTTATGCCAGTCTTAGAGAGATGCTACCATTTTCTTTTTTTTAAATAGTATTTTATTTTTTCCTATTACATGTAAAGACAATTTTTACTTTCACTTAAAAAAATTTGAGTTCCAAATTTTTCTCCATCTCTCCCTACCTCCTTCCCTAAAACAGCGAGCAATTTGATATCATTTATATACGTGATGCTACAATTTTCAAGAACACATCAATGGATTATGTTATGTGAATGCCCAGCCAAGTTTCATAACAAGTTTCAAGCCAGGAACAGGAAATGGAAGTCTGTGCTCAACATCTGGAAAACAGCTTTTAGGGGGAATGTATTTATGGCACTCTGAGAATCCTCATTTCCTTTGCTTTTTACTTAATACTGCTTTTGACAGTTAAAAGTAGTAGAAATGACAGAATCATAAAGTCCTATGAATTGCAATCTCTCCCTCTCCCTCTCTAATTAGACTATGAGCACCTTGAGAGCAGGGACTTTTTTTTGGTCCTTTTTTGTATCATTAACACCCAGTACAGTTTTTTTTGTTGTTCAGTCATTTCAGTCATGACCAACTCTTCACAACCCCATTTGGGGTTTTCTTGGTGGAGATACCGGAATGGTTTGTCATTTCCTTCTTCAGTTCATTTTACGGAGGAGGAAACTGAGACAGAGTTAAGTGACTTGCCCAAGGTCACACAGCTAGTAAGTATCTAAGACTGGGTTTGAACTCAGGTTTTCTAGACTCCAGGCTTAGCACTCTATCCAACTGCAACACCTAGCTTCGTAGGAACTTACTAAATGCCTGTTTAGTGATTGACTTATACTTTGGAGAGGAAAGGAGCCTGATACCTCCTTTGAGGTATGCTTATTCATTGAAGGACTTGTTTCTACTTCTTAAAATTTAACTTCCTATTCACTTTGCCTTTTTAAACCAGTTCATCTAATTTATGTGTGTCACTACCCAGATGTAGCAAAGGTCAACAACAGGGCAACTCTGGGGGAGGAGAAAGATAGATATAAAACCTCGGTATCTTGCCAGAACACTCTTTTCTGTCTTGAAGCTCAGAGCTCATAAAAGAGAATTGTTGATTCATTTTTATAACTTCCCAGGGGAAAGAGAGAAAAACATTTGCTAAGATCCATGTAGACAGTACAAGTCAGCAGGCTAGTCTGCCTGGGGGTGGGGAGAGAGGGATTGTGAGTATCTGGCCTGGAACTGGAGAAAAGGGCTTTGTAAGTTTCTTTCCCATTTTTTCTTAGTCTGGCTTGAAAGGAAAAACCCTTCCCAGAGGGGAACAGCTGAGGAAATGGCTAAAGCAGATAGTAATGTCTAAGGGGAGAGGTAGAGCAGTTCACACAAGGAGGGGTGCAGAGTGTGCTTAAGAGGGGGTTACAACCCTGCTCACTAACATAGCATGCAATAGCAGCACTTTACCATCACTGCTAAGACTGCCTCCAAACCAATGCTCTTTCCATACTACCTGCAAATAGCAGGTCACATAAATCACACTCAGGTGGAATATTATATGAAATTGAGGTTACCTTGTAATGAATTTCTTCTCATTGATGAATATCAGAGAAGGGGACTGGTAAGGATTGGTGGTCATTTTTCTCCACTCATTCAGACTGGCTGAAATGACATTAAAAAAAGAAATCAACATGGATGCTTGTTTCAAATGGTTCTTGACTGTGTCTATTGGCTGGTAAAAATTAGGAAAGGAAATTATCTGGTATGTCCATTGATGGGAATTATTATATTTGAATGGAGACTGATTTTCCAATTCAATGAAAGTGCTTCACCAAAACTTTCATTCCAAATGTTTTGTTGCTATTGTGCTGAGAGCAATTTTATGTAGTGATATGAGATGTAAGCATGTGATGCTTGCATGCACCTTTTAGGTATACTCAGGGACATCCCCACCAGTCCCCGTTCCTCTCCATTACTAACTCTTATTCATTTCCTCTCTCCAGATATAAAGGCACTCTAGTGGGTATGCTCTAGAATAATCTCATAATTTACAGAAATTTTAACATGCTCAGTCCTCACGCAGGGAAAAAACATATATAAGTTGGTTTTTCTTGTCTCAATGTTAAACACTGAATTTGTAAGTTTAGATGAAAATCACTATTAATGGCCTTGTAATATATTAGAAATATCAAGTAACATAAACAAGCATTTATTTTTATCAAGTAACATAGATAAAGGCAGCTAGGTGGCTCAGTGGATAGAGTACTGGGCCTGGGGTCAGTAAGACCTGAGTTCAAATCTGGCCTCAGATACCTACTAGCTGTGTGACTTTTGGCAAGTCACTTAACATGTTTGCCTTAATCCACCGGAGAAGGAAATGGCAGACCACTCGAGTATCTTTGCCGAGAAAAATCCTATAGACAGTATTGGTATGCTATGGTCCACAGAGTCACAAAGAGTCAGACACAACTGAAAAACAACAAACACAGATAAACATTCAAACAAAGTGTAGAAGGCTGCCATCAAGCCAAGGTCACCTCTTTATCCCCCTCCTACCCACTCTTTTGGTTTGGGGAAGAGGTAATTTCTTAAGAAAAAAAATGTGCTTTGGGAAAATATGGACTGGGGCTGAGATAATTAGAGGATTTATGCAATTTTGGAACAAGTTATGGAACTGGCCAGTTTAATGAATCTGTTCTTGTATTTTGTCTGTGAGCAATTTCTCTCATATGTATTCTCCACAGGGGAGTATATTCCCCTTTTTATAAAAGCAATCCAACCCAAATGGACAAGCCCTGTTCCACAAAGCAAATGGAAATGTAAGTAGTCAGGCAGGCTGAAATCATGCTCTGACTTGACCAGCCTGCTAAGTGGTGCCTAATATCCTTCTAGCCAACAATGAGCTTCGGAGAGCGAGTTCTGACATTAGTGACCTTCCTTTTTAGTATTTTTAGCTCGGTGGTACCAGGGTTTAGCTACAGGTCTTAAGTGGAAGATGTCCATTGCACTCCAGTTTTTTCAGCAATGGCATGCCTTATTGCCTGGACCTCTATGCCCATGAACAGAATTGGAGTGGAAGGAAGGAGAGCAAGATTCTGGAGATAGAGTTAGAAAGTTTGGGAAATAATTTCTACCTACTTAAACAATACAGCGCTCTCTTGTGTAATTATGCTGACCGAGCTCGGCTCCAGAGAAGAGTTGAGAAAATATGTGACTCTCCCCTCTTTGCAGAGATGGGGAATCATGGTCCAGAATATTGTATATGCCATCACACATGATTGATGGGTTGACCATTTTTTAACTGCTTTTCCCCCTCCCTCTTTCCTGTTAAATTTTTGTTACCAGGGATGAATATTTGTGTAGGGCAAGGTGGAGGGATATATTTTTAAATGAAGGTTCTATTTTTTAAATTAATTGATTCATTTTTAGTTTTCAACATTCACTTCCACAAGATTTTGAGTTCCAAATTTTCTCCCCATCTCATCCCTCCCCCCACCCCAAGATGGCATGCATTCTGAATGCCCTTCTCATAATCTGCCCTCCCTTTTATCTCCTCCCCCATTCTCTTAACCCCTTCCCCTTCTATTTTCCTGTAGGGCAGGAGAAATTTCTATACCCCATTGCCTGTGTATCTTATTTCCCAGTTGCATGTGAAAATGATTTTTAACATTTGTTTTTAAAACTTTAGGTTCCAAATTTTCTCTCTCCCTCCCTCCCTCTCCACCCCCCCTCATTGAGAAGGCAAGCAACTTGATACAGGTTAAATGTGTAGTCATGCAAAACACTTCCATAGTAGTCATATTGTGAAAAACTAGCTACATTTCCCTTCATTCTATCCTGCCCTCCCATTTATTCTATTCTCTCTTTTGACCCTCTCCTTCCTTAGACTTGTTTGCTTCTGATTACCCCCAACCCCAATCCCCCATGCCCTCTCCTCTATCATCCCTCTGCTTTCTTTTCCCCTTCCCCCCTATTTTCCTGTAGGGCAAGATAGATTTCCATACCCAATTGAGTGTGTATGGTATTCCCTTCTTAAGCCAAATCCGATGAGAATAAGATTCACTCATTCCCTCTCATCTTCCCCCATTTCTGGTCCACTGTAAGAGTCTTTTTTTGTCTGTTTTATGTGAGATAATTTACCCCATTCTACCTCTCCCTTTCTCCTTCTCCCAGTAAAATCCTCTCTTAGCCCTTAATTTTATTCTCCAGATATAACCCCTACATCTTCACCTCAGCCTATGCCCTCTTTGTATCTATCTAGCTATACATACTGAAGGTTCTATTTTTAAAGTTACTAATAAAAATAATATTAAGAATAAACAAAAATTGTTATGGTAAAAATGATAGAGTGCTTTCTACCATCTTTCTCTTTTCATTTCCAGCCTGCTTTATATTCCTTTTGAGGTAAATCCATGCCCACCCCATAGTCTTCCTCCTCTAGTAAACCTTCTAAGATGAACACTATTCAACTCTCCTATCCACCCCTTTCCCTAGTATCTCTTTATTAATTTCAAAATTGCATATTATAGTTCAACCATACAATGATGTAGAATACTCTTGGGATTGCTGACCACTAGGTATTCTCTAATCTTCTCGCCTGGAGAATAGTCCTATTGACCTATGGTTCTTATTCAGGTCTAACATCTGTGTCACGGGTGGGGAACCTGTAGCCTCAAGGCCACATGTGGCTCTCTAGGTCCTCAAGTGGGGCCCTTTGACTGAATCCAAAGTTCACAGAACAAATCCCCTTCATGAAAGGATTTGTTCCATAAAACTTGGACTCAGTCTAAAGGCTGCAACCAAGGACCTAGAGGGTCACACGTGGCCTCAAGGCTGCAGGTTCCCTACCCTGATCTCTACCATAGGAGAATTTTCCTACAATATTATTTCCACTTCAGCAATGTCATTGCTTGAAGAGCACATGACTATTTTAAAAAATATTCTGTGAATTAAAATTGATGCCGGACATATGGGTGCAGGAGAACTGTGTGTATTCTGACCTTTAGGGTTCATGTGTGTAGGCTTGTTTCTTTATTCCCCAATTATTACAGAACATAGCCAGGAAGACTAGCATATGTGGGATGCTCTTGGGCACTAAAAGGCTACTGGTAGAATTCTTGGACTCAAAATCATAATCACGAATGAATGAATGAATGAAAAAAAACCACGTATTTAGAGCTATGTACAAAGGCAGTGCATTTGCACCACACATTTGCATTGTCCATAACAAATACAAAAGTAACTCAGTCCCTGCTCTCCAGAAGCCCAAATTCTAATGGGGGACATGATACATATGGAAGGCTTCATCTACAAGTCATGCTGATGTTAGCTTACATTTATATAGCATTCAAAATTTGGCAGAATATTTCCCTCACCAAATCCATGTGAAGTAGGATGACAGGATTTAGAGCTAGAAGTGCCTTCAGCAATCTGATCTAATCCCTGCATTTTGCCAATGAGGAAACCTAGGCCTGGAAAGATGACATGGCTTGCCTAAAGTCATACAGAATCTAAACCCTGGTCCTCTGACTCCAAATACATCTCTTTCTTACATACTACCATGGTAGTGCAAGCATTATTATCCACATTTTTAATAGATCAACAAACAGATTCAGCAAAGTGAAGTGACTTTCCCAGGGTCACATAACTGGTCAATGGCTCAAGCTAGGACTCAAACCTAGGCCTTCAGTCTCCAAGTCGAGTGTTCCTTCTGTCCCCCAACCTGCACATGAACAAAGGGTTGAATGAAGCAAATTTGGAGGTTTTCTCATTGGTTCCCATGGTTGTGTTTTGTTTTGACCTGGGCCTGTGATTTATTTGGTGTTGAGAACTCCCAGTGAAGATTGGTGACTATTCTGCAGCTTTTAGTCTTAGAGAGCTGCCAGAGGCACTGAAAGATTAAGCAGTTTGGGCATTCACACAGCCAGCATATGTCAAAGGCTAGACTTGAACCCAGATCTCCCTGACACATCACACATCCTCTTTCCCATTGCTTATTTGTATTAATAAACAAAAACAACAAACATATCTTTAGCAAAACTGAATATTCATGCTGTATTTACACTGTGAATAATACTGACTTGTAACCCAAGTTAGTGAGTATCATTCACATGGGATGGAATAAAACCATTTTATGGTTAGTCGTAGGCCATCAGATGACCTAAGGAGATTTCAGGTGATTGGATGAAAGGATTGGTGATCCCTTAAATTGCTCCATGGCTTTAGAAATGAAGCTGATGTGGGGACAAAGATTAGGATTAAAAATAATATTAAGGGTTAATTTCCCAGGCCCCTGAGGGGGTTTGAGGCTCATTCTGTAGCCCATCTTGTACCTTGAGACCCTAGAACTTGAAAGCTTCTCAAGCCCTTTCCCCCTAATCTTAAAATACCATACAACTCGTACCAAAAGAATTGCCTTTGTTTCCCTTACCCTGTGTTCCTTATCTTGTCGTTCGTCTTCCTCATCCTGTGTCACGACAATTTTTCCTTATCTTGTAAGCAACCTTCTTCCTTATCTTGTCTGTCCCTAATCTCCAACCCCCATAAGAAATCCTAAAAATATGTCATCATCCTATAGGCTGTGTAGTTTTCTGGCTATATAAAGCTCCCAAAGGCTACAGAGAAGGTCTAAATGAATTCTTTCACACCTGAACCAGCTCTCC